GGGGGTGCAGCAAAAGTATTTGGATTTTTAACATTTCTGGTTATCTCTGTTACCTATCCCGCGCCTAAGTTAAGGGCCGACTGTACTTGTAAATAATTTTTTGGGGTATGTACAATAACTGTGTTTGCATGTTTCTATTATTGTAATACAATATGATTAGTTTAAAATAATGATGTTAGTAAATGCCGGTACAGTGCATCAGTGTGAACACTGGGCCGTGAATTGATAGCCCGGCTGGTTAAGTGCATGACCTACCCGAGCCGTTTGGTGGCCACTGACTTGGTTGTTTTGCGCAATTAACCAGGCCGTTCACATATATTTATTATTTGGGTTTAAGTAACGAAACCCCAACTGTAGTTCCTTGTTTTATTATAAAAGGATTGTATCTATAATTCCTGAGTGTAGATCGAACCATAAGTTCCACTGTATATGAGTGAATGAGAAAGGGACAGCGTTTATGTATTATAAACGTTAGGTCAAGTCCTTATTATATAACTTTGTGTGAGCGACTACTCGAGTAAGGGCCTGCCTTGCTGCGCGGGGAAGACAGACATCCTGACAATGGGGCTCTACCTCCTGGGAGAGTTGCCCTCTCACATGTACAACTCATGTCTTACTCATAGACAGTGGAAAGTTACAGGGTGGGAATTTACGTTGTAACTCTTGATATGATGTCAAGGCCAATACATTAGCGCAAGCACCTGTGTCTATATCAAGAGCCAATCTGGTATTATCTACTCTGACCGGCACTGACAACACTTCAACTTTGCTAAGCGCCGCTATAAAAGTGCTGTGAGGAGGGGCGGGGATAACCCTATCTATCCCTCTTCCTGGTGTGGTATGCGTTTGTCTTCCCCCGACGACATGTCCTGGGGACGTTTCTGCTTGTGCCTATACGACACCTCTGTTTCACTAAGGTCCACACCCCTCGCCTTTATTAGCACATCGCAGTCATATGAACTATGAGTTGTCGATTTGTGAAGGGCGCACCATTTACGCACTTTCAGGTTAAGAGGAGGTGCTGCTGGTGTGGGTGCCTCACTGTATGACCTTGAGAATGGCTATTCACTGGATGTGTCCTTAAATTTTGCACTATTACCTTGGAGCTGAAAACAATCTTCCATTACGTGGCTACGTTTATTACAGTGTGCGCATCGTAAAGATGTTTTTTGTTTATAAATCAGGTGGGGAGGTGCAATCGGAGGTAAGTGTGTTGCATAAGGAGTCTGGGAGGGGGACATGTGTGCCATCTGAGGCATCTGACGTCAAGGGTTGCCGTGACGTCACTGAGGGCTGCGGCATTAAATTTCCCGTAGCCCGGGGACAGAGCTTATTTGCGTACTCCACCATATCCAGGAGTGGTTCATACTGTACTTCTTGTGCCCGGCTATATAGAGGACGACGGACGGAAAGCAGAAAACTTATTAGATCTATCAACGTTTCCACATTGTCCGCTGACATATTACCCTGATCGTCGTACCAATCTGAGGTCCAGAATGTCGCTTGCATGTCCTGGCGAACCTCGCCTGCGATGTCGACAGCGTATCCCCGGTGTACATCCATCCATCCATCCATCCATCCATCCATCCATCCATCCATCCATCCATCTGAAGATCAATTGAAGGTGGCCCAGCTGTGACCTACCCCTCCAAAGATCTCAATTACCCCCCAAAGATCTCAATTACCCCCCAAAGATCTCAATTACCCCCCAAAGATTCCACTTAACGTTTGCTTAAATTTCTCATAATCATGGCTCTGCAAACCAAATGCATTTAAACGACCCATTTATATAATATGTTCTGTTGATGAGACAGGGGGGCCATTACACCACAGGTATACTAATTCCCAAATGAGTATTTGCGGTTTTGGCTTTTCTTGGGTGTTACCCAAGATCCCATTTAAGTAATCTAATGTTATCTCCTCTGGTTACAAGTACAGTGCTGGGGTTGCCTTACCCAAACAAACATGAAAACTATCAGCCTGAGACCACGTTCCCCTCCCCCGATGCATCAATATGGATCTTGTCTTTATACTCCAGTAACAACCAATTTTAGGCATCAACTGTAAAGCAAATAATGAATAAAATGTATGATGACCCCAAAAATGTTATAAAAGCCACTAATGTAAATACTGTGGTGTAAATACTGTGGTGTAAATACTGTGGTGTAAATACTGTGGTGTAAATACTGTGGTGTAAATACTGTGGTGTAAATACTGTGGTGTAAATACTGTGGTGTAAATACTGTGGTGTAAATACTGTGGTGTAAATACTGTGGTATAAACACTGTGGGATTGTATTTGTAACTCCCATGAGAAGAGCCGAATTGGCTTCACCCAGTGGCGTGTATTCATAAGAAGCAAGGTAAGCATTGCTTACCCTATAACAATGATTCCCTTCCAAATAAAAATAATTTATTTAATCAACATATTATTTAATTCAATCGTGTATAGCATTGTGTTATTTTTTTTGTCCCAGTTAATTTGTGAAACTTGCAAGACGGGCATTTTCCGCTTGAAAATCTATCCCTCAAGTAAGCAATATTCCACTGCAGTACCCTCGTTCCCCCACGCTCACAGCGTCAATGGTATGCCATTGCCAGACGTAAGATGAGAACAAATAATTTAACTTATGTTCCTCCCCTTTTTCCAAACCCATGGAAATAAGGTTCAGATCAATTTAATAACCTGTGGAAAGCATTCTGATGCTGGAATGTCCCCTCAATAATATTTGTTATTATCAGTCAGTATAATTAATTGTGCTAGAAATTTGGACAACGTAAGCACAGCGTCCTCCCTGGTCCCCCTCCCCCACCCCCTATACTCGCAGCACCGCAGCACCGCAGCATCGCAGCATTACCAGTTCATTAATTAGTTTTTTCAATGATAAATTCGTATCCGTAAATAATAATTATCTGACCTTTTTTATGTTTCACAGTTTCGTAGACTATTGGACTCATTATCAAAGTACTTCATTAATGTCATTGTCATTGTCATTGTCATTGTCACTTTCATTTTTGAATAATATAATAAATTAATAATGGCTATAAACTTTTTTTGAATTGATAGATTTTGTTTTGAAAGAGATGGTATCACTGTATTAGGCTACGGTCTATGTCAACACTCAACGTAAGAAATTCAGTTGACTTTCAGAGGTCATGATGTGTGAGTGCGACGCATTTATTTGGATTAATATACCCCCAAACTGAAAATGCAGTCGCAGGAGGAGCAAAGTTCAGCATGTGCATGCACTGTATGTGATCTACTAAAGAATTCTTTTAGATCTCGTGACTTTACAATTAAGAAAGTTATTGTGGAAAATGGCAGGCATATTCCTAAATTGAGCATTAGCTTAAAAGTAAAAAACTGTGTTCGAAAATTTAACAATCAAATGTACATGATCAATGACTGGCTTGCTGGATGTTCTAGTGCACAAAGAGTTTATTGTTGGGCATGTCTTCTTTTTTCAAATGATAAAAATGTATGGAATACTTACGGATATAATGATTTGTCAAATGTACATAAAGCAGTAAAAAAGCACAGCCTATCAGAAAGTTACTTGCAGGCTGTAATATCTGAAAAAACTTTTGGTAAAGCAAGGATTGACTATATGTTGAGTGATCAAAAGAGAGTTCGTGACAATCAACATAATCAGCTTGTTAAAAGGAACAGAGAAATCATGAAACGTTATATTGATACAGTATGTTACTTAGCAAAAACAGAGCAAGCATTTAGAGGTCATGATGAGGCCACTAGTTCAGTAAACAAAGGCAATTATGTCGAATTTATTGACGTGCTAAGCAAATATGATGGACAGTTAAGAGGCTTCCTTGACAATGCTACAACTTTCAGTGGACTGTCCAATTTAATACAAAACGACCTCATAGAATCTGTGTCATATGTTATGCTTGATGAAATTAAAAAAGAGATCCAACATGCAAAATTCATTTCAGTAATGCTTGATGAAGCCACTGACATTACCAATTTATGTCAGTTGTCATATGTGTTTCGGTATTCATTGGATAACAAGGTATATGAACGGTTCTTAGGGTTTGAAAACGTCTCTCAAGATAGAACAGCAGAAGCACTTTACACATTTGTTACAAATTTTATGCAAAAATATGAATGTGACAGCCAAATAGTTGCTCAGACCTATGATGGTGCTGGTGCTGCTGCTGCTGCTGCTGCTGCTGCTGTCATGGCTGGGGAGTTGAATGGCCTGCAGTCAAGAGTTAAGGGAAAATATCCAACTGCTTTATTCATACACTGTTTTGCCCACAGACTGAATTTAGTTTTATCACAAGCAATGGCAAAAATAAGTAAATTCAAAGTAAATGACCACGAGAAAACTTCAGAAAGTGTCAGCCACTCGTTGGAATTATGCATCAAGAATAGTTGAAACTGTGTTTGAGTGTAAAGAATCAATCCCTTATCGCTGTATTCGAGAAAATGAGAGATACCGAATCTGAGTGGGATCAAGAGTCATATAACCGTGCAGGGGGATTTTTATCATCGATGACTGATTTTAATTATTGCTTTCTCTTAAATCTTTTTGCATCATTTTTCCCATTGTCAGATACACTTTTTGATATACTGCAAGCAAAAATTCATGATGGTTAATGTGTCAGAAAAGTGAATGATTTTCGCCTGGCTTAGGAACAGAAGAGAGAAGAGTTTGAGAACAATTGGGAAACAACAAAGAACTGTGATCACATAAATGAAAATGAACCCAGATTTAAGAGACAAAAAGTAAATGTTGATGTGAAGACGTCATTCTCACGACTTTATGTAGAAATATATGACACGATACTTAACCAGGTTAATATCAGATTTGCAAATTTGGATTCATTAAGATTCTTAGAGCTGTTACACTCTCCATCATTCTGTGAGTTTACTAAGTTTTGGCATTTCCAGAGCTTGCTTTTCAATTGCTGAAGTGTAGCTATGATAAATTCTTTTATTTTTTAGCACTGAAATCGCAACTTAGAGTTGTTTACATGTCAGAGGAATTCAAAGATAAAACTATAAAAGAAATTTTAAGATTTATAAAGCTGAATGACTTGGAAAAGGCTTACAATGAAGTATCAAGACTTTGTGAATTAATTTTAACAGTTGCAGCAACGACTGCATCTGTAGAGCGCAGCTTCTCTGCTTTGAAGCGAATTAAAACTTACTCAAGAAATTCTCAAGGTCAAGAAAGATTGCAAAGTTTAGCCCTTCTATCAATTGAAAAATAATTATTGCATAATCTTGAGAGCAAGCCAGAATTTTACATCAAAGTTACTGATCCTTTTTCTCGTAAGCCAAGAATAATTCCATTGAACTATGTTTAAAATGGTAAGTTAAAATAATATATTGTTAATTACTTCCTATTTTATAAATATGCTAAATGAATAATAAAATGATATTAGTATTCTTACTCCAGCTTCATCAGAGATCTTACCAGCGTCATTTGCTTACCCTAGCATTTTTCTCACGACACGCCACTGGCTTCACCATAAGTTAACTAGTCACAACTGGCTAACACCTGTTAAAATGACAATTTATATCCCACTGCCATAATTGTTTAATTATCTATAAATGCGCGATATTGTGTAGCTTTAAATTTGTTAGGGAAATTTTCCTTTCCCAGAGAATTAAAATATAATCGAAGACATGATTTGTTTTTTGTCAATGTTTTAATCCCACCCAATTTGAGTGTTTATTGATAATTAAAACGTCACCATCGGACACATGAAGCGGTTATGTTAGGATTCGCCCAGATACACTGACGCAAATGGAAAGAATATTTAAATCAATAAACGTAAATTGTACATTAAAGTTCCCAAAATGTGTAAAAATTTAATTATAATACTGCAAACTGTAATGTAACCCTAAATAAAACATAAATGAAAGGAAACAAATTGTCCCCCAATCTAAATGACCCCAAAGCCCACCTTTGTTAATATAGTACATGACTAATCCGCCATGGCTGCTTCGTTGTTTTCTGCTGCTGTATCATGTCACGTCCAGAAAATATCTTCAATATCACCACATAGTCAGTTTATTTGTTTAATGTACCTGTGAAGTTAGGGAGGGTGGGTAGGTAGGTAGGTAGGTGAGTATGGTTATGTCTGTCCTTCGTAGCCACCAATGTTAAGTAGCTTATATATACAAAACAGTGTCCACTGGAATATAACAGTGAAAATCTGACGTTTTCCTAATAGTTCTCAACCGATTTTGGCCTTTCGTTATTTGTACATAATTACCCCCACCTCAAATGGACGGCAAGAATAGTAGAACTACCTTGAACGTTACCAATACGAATGTAAAATATGACCAAATTTTCTGAAACTCGAAGAAAGACTAAATATTATTTGAAAATATGAATAAATTTTAAGAATTTACGTAAGATACGACTTGTATAACACGATAACATAAGGTTGTTGTTACCGGTTGCTCCGTTATCTTTCATGATTAAGAAGACCTATACTTTATTGTGGCATTGAATTAATCAAAGAAAAGTAACGTGACCCAATTATTATAATTCATAAAACTATTTTAAAAGAATTAAAGTACAGAAAAGTAACAATTCCCAAGCGTAAAGTGACGTTTACTCCACAAGTAAGCAAACTTAACAAACACAGAAGTAACCAATATTCAACACGAAAGTAATATATACCTCAAACGATCGAATTATTTCCTTTACACTGTTCCATTCAATTATGTTTTTTCAAATGCCAAGTAGGTGGATGACCTAAACATTCATTTTACCAAATTGATGATGAGTAAATCAAATGCCAAGTAGGTGGATGACCTAAACATTCATTTTACCAAATTGATGATGAGTAAATCAAAAGCATTAGTCTACCGGGTATTTGGAGTTACAAATTCAGACTCCGTAAAGTTCAAATGACATTCACTTCATGATAGATGTTTCACCCTACACACTGAAGCTACTTTATGTAAGAGGACAAAATAAGCACCAAATTGTATTGTTTAATACCCAAAGAAGTCATTGATCCTAATATTTAATAACAATTTTTGAGGTATTACGACCTGGTGGTCGGGACGGAAGACCGTCTTAGGTCCAGGAGAGACTGTAATACATTTTCATAATTAAACTCGTTGTATCTCACCTAAATCACCTAGTTGCTCCACTCAATTATAGGTAGATGTAATAAATATAGAAACTATTCACCGGTATGACTCCATTTTTCGTTAATTGTTTTTATATTAAAATTCTTTGACATTCAAAGATAATGAAAATATAATTCTTCATTAAATGAGATATGCGTACATTCTATTGATGACACCAGAAATATGTCAGACTTGACTAATTAACTGTAACCAGAAAATAACTTAAGTGAAGTAGTCCTTAATCCAACATTAAAATATGAAAGACAGTAAACATTGTTTGATCTACTGAACTTTAGGGACCCCCCCTGGAGCAACCAACTCATGGTTTAATGTAAGTTCAGGCTTATCATTGATCAAATGAACATTTTCTATACCCTGGATCAAGTAAACATTAGGGACGTCATGGGTAAATCGACTTTTCTGACTACCCTGGAAGTACTTCACTTTAGGCCACTCATGGATTAACTTAATTTTCTGCTTGCCACTGTGTAATAAGAAATGTTTCATCTCCCTTATTGAAATGTGTACATACAGTAGTGAAAAATGTTTGTGAATTATGCAATTGTTATTTAAATTAACGTTTTTGTGTATTTTCTCATATAATTTGTTTTAATTGTAGCCTACTTGTGAGAGGTAGCTAAATGTTGACTTTACAGGGGACAATAATTTAGTCCCCCTTAGGTTTATGTTATCTACTCGTATTTTGCTGTCATTGTTTAATGACGTTAGTTTCTTGTACTAGTTAATAGAAAATAATCCCAATAAATCCATAGCTGGTTGGCGTATTGTAAATTGCTCAAACGTAATATTAACTTACCTTTTGCCGCCATGAGGACACAGTATCAAATGTAACTCCTCCCAAAGGCCAACTGTTATTGAAATCGCGTGAGCGTACAAGAGACGGCCGGCCCAATCTTCTTGATGTTCCATTTCATGTTTTATCATGTGTTGAAAACAGCCCTGAGACCTTCACACTAATAAAGAAATGTACCCTAATGTTCGAACTTGATATCAACACTGAAGACGTTGTACCCAACTAAATGTCAAAGTGTAACTGACACTGGTGAGGGATCAGTTGCTAAGGTATTCTTGCCTCAAACGGTAATACCGCCACATTTTCAATGTTTTGTGAAATTGTCCTAGTTAATTTCACTTAGTTATAGTTGACACTGATCTTATGTATTAACGGAACAAATTTTGGTTGTCCTAGTTTTAGTTTTGTGTTGTGAAATAGTTATGTTATTGGTAGATGTTGTAATTTGTATTATTTTAATTGGTGATTTGTGTTGTTGTGGGGTTCCGGCTCATATATTATTAATGTTTGTAAGAATTATATAAAGGTTTGTTCATTTACATTGATCTCTATTCGTTTTGTGAATGAGGTTAGATGTAACATTGATGTTTTGTGATGAAATGAAGCTTTAATTTGCTGAAATACATACCAAATTCGTTTTTTGTATTAGTTCCTGTTTGTAATGTCTACTTATTGGCATATGTCCTGAGATTATGTGCGTTTGTCTACTATTACTGTATGTTATTTGTTTTATGCAATCTTTTTAGATATGTTATCATGTGTATAATACAAAATGCCAAATTTTGTTGGGTGTTAGGTTGTTGGAGAGCCTGTGTGTAATGAATTAGTTTGAGATACAAAAAGATTGTGTGGTAACTTTTGAAGCAATTGTTACCAACTAAGGGTTTACTTCCCTTGTGAGATACTCACCGAAAATCTGGTTTGATTGAGTTGGCAATAAGAAAAGTGTTTTTGTATGTGATTTTACTAATATTTGAGGGCAATTTTAAATGACAAATGTATAATAGTATTTGTATTGTGTGTTTCATTTGCTTTTGTGAAGATAAGATAATATGTATGATGTATTCATATCTGCGTGTGCCAATTCTGCTATTGATTGGTTGAGGAATTTACGTCAAATTAGCATAGTATTGTGGGAATTGAGTGAAATTGTTTTAGAATGGTGTAGATGTGAAGGGCGGTTGTGGGGGCCTGGGGTGGGGGACTTAAACGGGACTTAAACGGGACTTAAGCAGGACTTAAACAGGACTTAAACGGGACTTAAGCAGGACTTAAGCAGGACTTAAACGGGACTTAAACGGGACTTAGAAGGGCGCAGAAGCAGAAGCAGAAGCAGCTTTAGCAGCAGCAGCAGCCAGGGAGGCGACCTTATTTTCAGTCAGGTTCATACACAAAGAAATACATCAGATTCATTGACAGTACAGTACACATTACCAGTGTGGGCTAGCCAATTTGGGATAAAGAGCAAGAATGTAATGTCCTCAATGAAGTAATGACATAGTTCAAGATACAATAAGTGAGGTGGCCTGAAGTCTTTGACAGTGTCCCATTCAATAATATAGTAGTGCTTTAAAGGTGTATCACCAAGTTTACATGCTGAGTGTTCCTTTATGGGTACAGCGTTACTAACTAGCCAGATGTGTCTGTATCCTAACCTAATTCTGGCCACGACTACATCACACAGGCAGGCGGGAGCAAGTTGTTTGGACACTCTTCCTAGCCCCCTTGGTCCCTGTTCACCTACCTACTGTAGCAGTAAGTAGGTACCTGTTGTAAATCGAAAGGTTGCCAATTCGTATTCAGGGAAAGTTGTTGGAGCTTCTAAACTTGAACTGACACAATCCGAGGAGTGGTGACCCGAGGATCACAGACACTATCTCTCCCACTACAAATCCCTTCCTATCCTCCTGCTCCTTCCTATGTCCTCCCAAAATTGAACCATGCTATCGCAAAGGTAATAATACAGGTAGAGACAACAACATATTTTCCTATTGTCTTATTATATATTAATAACAGAAACGCTGCCGCCATCCCGGAGGCTTTACATTGTCTCACTGTTCATTCCCTCCACAATTCTTCCTCTTACTTCTTCTTCTTCTTCTTCTTCTTCTTCTTCTTATTCTTCTTCTTCTTCTTCTTCTTCTTCTTCTTCTTCTTCTTCTTCTTCTTCTTCTTCTTCTTCCATCAATACTTTATTAACGGTGTATGTAAGTTTCACCCTGTTTTGCACTACAGCGGTAGAGCAAAGTATATTTTGTTAGCAATAAACCAAAAGCATATTTTATGGCCTAATCATCACTACATAGAACACCACCCATAAAGCATGATACTAGTAGACCACAAAAACTGCTATAAACAACCAAAGCATATTTTATTGCCTAATCATCACTACATAGAACACCACTCATAAAGCATGATACTATTAGACCACAAACTGCTATAAACCCCAATAATAAACTATACTAGTGACTATAATTGTGTTACCCAATATTATACGAAATAATACTATAAAACATAATAATAAACACACTAATAGTGTATATTAGTTGAATGCACAATCTGATGAGAAGTAAAAAAAAAAAAAAACAACATAACAATAACCTAGAAAGAGTGTAGAGTATTTTTGTGCAAACTATTATACTAGTAGATGGTCTAAGATAACTGTATGTGAAGGAAAAGGTGTGCTCTCCACTCAAACTTTCTTTTTATGAAATCTCCTACTCCCCAGCTGAGCGGTACGCCCAATGGGAAACAAAACGTGGCACATAACACGCCGCCCGCCAGGTCTGGCTCGGTGAATAGGAATCAGTAATCGGGCGGAGTATAAACAACACCGCCGCCAATGTGCTCCTCCCATCTCTGAGGAAATCTGGCGGGCAACTTAGTATTATATTAGCATGTAATAATAATAACAATAATAATAATAATAATAATACTACTACTAATAATAATAATAATAATAATAATCATAATATTAATAATAATAATATTAATAATAATAACATGCAATTTCATTTTATAACACATACTAACAAAATAGTGTATAGCCTACTATACTTAACTATAATAGGTTAGGTTGCGTAGGAGGATCTAAAAAGTACAGTAGTATACACACACACACACACACACACACACACACACACACACACACACACACATACATATAGACAACAAACTAAAATAAAAACCACACGTCAGTGAAGTTATCAAATCCTCCAGTTTCCGTCTCCACCTCCTACGCCGACTCAAGTCCCTCGGTGGTCCTGCACACGAGCTCCTCAGTGTTTACACAACATTCATACTTCCCAAGCTCACCTATACCTCCTCCACCTGGTCTTCCTCCCTAAATGCCACACAACGTAAACACCTCGAAAAAGTGCAAAAGAGGCCATGCAAGATTATTCTCTACCCTTCCTACTCCACATATCAAGAAGCGCTCAACACACTGACCCTTTAGCCTCTCACTGACCATCACCACGACCTCATCTGCAAATTTGGTAAGAAGCTTCTACACCATCCCCGACACCGGCTCCTACTACCACCTGAGATCCTGGTTAAAATTGCTCTTTGGCTTTCCCAGCCCATCCCATACGTGCACGAACTGGTCGCTATAAAGGCGGCTGATCCCAACCATTGTAAAAAGTATCGATAACTTGTAATAAATCAGTGTACTCACTCCCAGTAAACACTACTCCTTGCACTGTCACTATGTTGAAATGAACTGTAGTTTGAGCTTTTCCCCAGCTAGTTATTATATGTCTTATTTGTGTCACTCATGTTACTTGTATATTATTTGTAATTCGTAACCCATTCCCCAAATATGTAACTGTATATTTTCAGTCTTCTGGCTGCCAAGCTCTTTCAATAAACCGTTAATTATTATTATTATTATTATTATTTATATTTTGGCCCATACCAACTCACTCCCCTGAACCCTCCTCCCCAGCGGACTATCAACAAGTTCTTGCCATAAGGTACTATCTCATTTGGCCAAGGAATGGAACCAGTGATGAATAGTGGTGAACAGTGCTTAACTCAGTGAAAAACAACTCGGCAGTTGAGTCTTACCCAAGCTAGCTAACCACCTTCACACAGTGAGGTCCCAGGTACCCAGTTATACTTCCCCTGAGACTCCACGATAGAGAGGCCTGGGACCACACCTCACCCGCTTGAATGAGTGAGTCATGTCGACCACGTGGTGTCCCCAAGATGCTACGACAACACGTAGTGAATGTTTTGCTACAGCATCATCATGTGAATTTCCTCATAACACCATCTGTGAGGTAACTGCTACATCATCAGGCCCCTCATAACGCCATCTGTGAGGGAGTTACTACACTACGTGTCTGGTGTTCAACATCTCACCTTACATGATCTACGCGTGCAAACATTAATCTGTATGGTCACTGTGTGCTCCTTCACCTTTCTCTAATGAGGGCTTTTGTTAAACCACCAATTTATGATGTACTAAGTCATTTGTGTCCAATGTATACTTTCGAAAAGCCCTTGTTTGGGGAAGGTAGGAGAGAGTAGTCGTCATTATTGTCCAAGCCACATTATTTATTTCTATATATAAGTAATGCAGGCTGGTTTTTAAATACCTCAATCCCCTAACGGTGCCGTTTGTATATTAAGAAATACCGAAGCCATACAGTACAACGCCAGCGAATATGAAGTATCACTGTAACCGGCAACTGTTACTCACTCATACCTACATACATATAGAGAGTCTTTACAGAATGATAGCAGACACGAGGAAGACGAACAACAAGAGGAGAAGAGTTAGAAGAAAATCAACTTCAAGCTAAGAAGAAGAATACCAAGACATTTCCTCCAAACAAGAAAACAACACACACAATCAAGCCGACCAAACACTGAGAAACCATGGCAGAACCCAACATGCACCGGACGCTTGACCTGACTCTATCCTGCCGCATCCAGGCGAGTTGCTGCTTAAAGTCCCTCACGCAAGCGCTGTTTAGCCACTGCACCTATTCTATCCTCCTAAAATTCACTTCAATCCCCCCTGCCACTAGCATGTTATGTATGTATGTATGTATGTATGTATGTATGTATGAATGTATGTATGTATGTATGTATGTATGTATGTATGTATGAATGAATGATAACTGCAACTTTGCGTATTAAAACTCATTACTCTTACCGAAGTAATATAGTGCGTGGTTATGTTATGTCATGTTAGGATAGATTATAAACTACATTGGGTTACATTTCGTGAGGTTCGGTGACGCTACAGGAAGTTAGGTGAGGTACCTGGAGGTTAGGTGAGGTACCTGGAGGTTAGGTGAATGTTGACTGACTGACTGACTGACTGACAATTATTAGGAAGTGGTTCCAACACGTTCACACACAACCTATACTCATACCACAAGTCCAGAATTAGAGAGGATCATGTTATTGGATATATTTTCAACGATTTACTCAGTGTCTAACCAACTCTTTAGCGATTTAAATGTGGACCTAAAATTAGGTCCGTATATTTGTTTGTCTTGGTGGTGGTGGTGGTGTGCGCCCGTCCATCAGGTTGATTAACCACCAAAACCATAAAGGGTGCGGCCCTGCCGTTTCAGGGCATAAACCACATCCATGGCGGTGACGGTCTTCCTTTTTGCGTGCTCGGTGTAGGTGACGGCGTCACGGATGACGTTCTCCAGAAACACCTTGAGGACGCCGCAGGTCTCCTCGTAGATGAGGCCGGATATACGTTTAACACCTCCACGCCGAGCTAGACGACGAATGGCGGGCTTGGTGATACCCTGGATGTTGTCACGAAGCACCTTACGATGACGCTTGGCGCCACCCTTTCCAAGTCCCTTGCCTCCTTTGCCTCGTCCAGTCATGTTGTTGTGGTTGCTACTACAGGTGGTCCTGGTGTGGCTTCGCCGAATCGAATCGAAAAATGCTAGTGACAGGGGGGAAGGAGGTTCAGGAGAAGAATAAAGGGAGGATTGAAGTGAATTTTAGGAGGAGAGAACAGATGCAGTGGCTAAACAC